AATAATAATTAATATTATTATTATTATTATTATTATTATTATTATTATTTTGAGCTTTACTATAACCACACATTTTTACTCTTTTGAACAATCAACAAAGAGAACAATAAAAATCAGGATATTGAACTTACAATTTTACTCTAAAAAATCCTTGAATCACCTAAAATAACAGAAAAAATTATTGTCCATTTGTATGATAAATCACGAATAGTACAAGATCTCAAAATAACTCCAAACTCGGCTTAAATCAAGAGTCGCCCATTTTGTATTCCTTTTCAGACTGCGTCTAACAACTCCAATCTTAAAAAGGATACATCACCCCACGTGGAAGAGGAATATTAAATGGTCACAATTTTAATTATTTGCAATAAAAGCCCTTATAAGTCGGAACTTTTGATGCAACAACCACAAATACTATTCGATCTAAACATCTATAAAGAGATTTGCGGCTACGGTCCCCAAACCTTTTAAATTCGTGTGATCGAAGGATCATTGGACGATTTCGTCCAAAAATTCGTCAGTTGACCAAAATAAGCATTCGTCCATAATTTGACCAATTTTGAAATGGGTAATTATACTACCACAACAAAATTTAATTACTACACCACATTATAATCACACAACAATTAAAAAATACAAGATAATAAATTTACAATTATACTACCAGCACAACAAAAACTAAAAATGAAAAATAACATACAATATTGTGGTGTACTCGTTCTTCCAATATTACTAATCTTTTTCTCAATCCTTCTCGCCCTATTTAATTAGATCATTTGATTCAATATTAGCCCAGAAATGATCTCGTCAGAAACAATCCTTTCCGTCGGAATTTTGACTTTTCGTATTGTATTCGCTCCAAGCATTTCATCATCCTTGACTCGGAACTCTAAAAAGGCCATGGGATGGGCTAAGGGGATATAGAACTTTGCATTCCATGTAGGATTTTGAAAATTAAGCAGCACACATGTGGGTGAGTGTAGCCTGCGGCACCGAAACTGTGATATACGAGTCACTAGTGATAATTTTCCTGTTGTGGTGAAGTTTCCTTTCGTGGTGGCTACCACCTCCTCCATCCTCAATGTCAGCGGTACCACAGGAGTCGCAGGCGGTGAAACAACGAAAAAGGCTCTCCGAGACTAAGTCCATGTTCTGCTGGCAACGTGCCTCAGTTACGTGCAAATCCATATCTATTTGCAAATATATTACTTGTTCGAAAGAATCCTCTACCATAATTTTACCAAAACAAACAAAAAATCCACTTTGTTGACACACTAAAAGTGTAGCCCAAACTAAATAACCCAAAGAGTGAAGCCCAATTGGAGAGTTTAGGATAAAGGTCCAAATAAGATTATTGATGAATGCCGTGGAAGCCCACAAACACAGTAACATCATCGTCCAAGCTTGC